AGTGTCTTCAGAAAATTAACCCATGAAATAAGCAATAATATGTGAACTATAAACATTCTTGCATGTTGGCAGATAACCATGCTACACATTCCCCTCCAAGAACTGAGAAAGAGAAGAAAGGGAATAACACAATAGCAAAAAAATGTACTAATCAAATCCATAATCAACTTTGATGATGGAGCACAGATTCTAATCAAAACACAATGGGGTAAAGTTGCAACAGGTTGTAAGCTTGGAGCCGAGTGCTCTTCCCAGGGGCCTGGCCTGCATTTTCTTTTTAAACATCTAAAACACCCACAGAGGATTTCAATCACTTCTAATTACTTTTTTTTTAAAGAAATGAGTTGCAAGTTGAGCACCAGGCTCCTAAAAACAGGAAATATCAAAGTATTATATATAATTTTTTTCCTTGCAACTGCTTCTTAAAAATAGGCCAACCTCTCCTCAAATAGCTCACAAGCATTCCTTATCTGAAGGTTGGCCGGACAGGGTTTCTGAACTAACACAGAGCCTATCTTTAAAACAAGTCTTTGCACATGGTCATAATTTATACACCACGTTAACGGAGCAGATGCTATAAATGTTCATTCCTGGGGGAGGGCCCAGGTATCCCAGCACCAGGAAGGGAATCTGGGAGGATGTGCTGCTGCAGAACCCAGTTTCCCCCACTGAGGGGATGGAGCCCCAGCTATAGGTTTGTGGGAGGAGACAAGGTGAGGGGCTTGGGGTCAACAGTGGGGCTGCACCTCAGAGCTGTTTTCTGGATTGCTGGCTATGTTAGGTCTTTTCACACTTGATGGAGGAGAGCGGTCTTGGGGAAAATGGGCTGTCGCCCGCCTGAACAGAATTGCTGCATAATAAAAGGAGTTGTGAGAATGGCTTCCTTTCACCTATAACTACCACACTGAATATTCTGGACCCCAAGCTAATAATAATCATCCCTGTCATTTCCCCAAGGTCTGTTATCAACGAGGTCTTTTATGGACACTGTCTCCCCAGCTTCTCAACACCACCCTGCATGCTCAGAATTACTATCCACTGAGAAGCCAGCATGCGAATCCAATCCTTCAACTGTGAGAAGACTTTGTTCTTTTTCTCATCACTTTTTAAAAGAAGGTACCAGATACAGAGCCATTACCTATTGCATGAAGATTCGGCTTCCCTGTGATGACATCAAGTCATCACAGTGCTGCTCTGCACCGCTGCACGACCCTGCTCCTCATCCTTCCCCATCTTGCCCATCTCACTGCCTCTCCTCTCCACCCAGCCACTTGTGCCTGTTTCGGAAACTCAGCCACCTCCTGCCTCTTCTGCAAAGCCCTCTGGACTTCTCCAGCCATCATGGCCCTTCTCTTCCCTTGAACCTACAGCATACCTCTTAGCCCTGTCTCTGTTTTACCCTGTTGCTCGTGGTACATCAGTTATGCCTCCCAACCAGACTATAAAATCCTGAATGGCCAGCCATGTTTTATTTACCATGTTCATCTGCCAGAACATGCTGAAGAAGGCAGCTACAGAGAGGGGGTAGACCACTGGCCTTGAAGCCAGAACAACCTGAGCTAGAATCCCTGCTCCACCATACTGGAGCAGGATGATTTAAAGCTAGTGACTTCACTTTGCTGCATCTCACTTACTCTTCTAGCTCAGTGGTTGGACCAGTGGTCTTGTAAATTACAGCCTGAAAGAAATCAGGAAGTCTCTCTGGTTACCTCTGGGTAGCATCGTGGTTAAGGGCATAGAGTCCACAGCCAGCCTGTCCAAGTCCTCATTCTGCTTCTGCTTCTCACCAGGCCACTAACCCAGTCTTTGCCTCAGTTTTCTCTGAGTAAAATGACAGTAACAACACTTATTCCACTGGATTATGGTAAGAATCAAGAGGCATTTTATACAACCTCTGTAGCACCATTCCTGACGCATAGGAAGGATTGTGTAATGATTTGCCATTATTACATTATTTGTTATGGAAAATGCCATATCTGCTTTAAGTGTTACTGTGAGGATGAAATGAGATTATATGTAAAGAACCTGGCACATCAAGCCCTCCACAAATGGTTCTGCCCTTCCCTCATCTTCCCACTGTACCAGTTGTACTAGATGGGTGATTGATGCTCTGAAAGTCCTTGTGAACCAATGGATACCCCCTCAAGGGCTTGAGAGAAGAAGCTACACCTTTTCTTACTTCCAGGACATTTGATCTAGATAACATGCCTATCTCTCACTTAATGACATAAATAGCTGATTTTATTGTGTTCCTTGTTTGCCAAACACTGGACTAAACACTTCACACACTTCCCCCCCCCCTTAACTACCCTATTTGTGTGGTTGTTTATGTCCATTTTTAAAGATGGGAACACTGAGGCCCAGAGAGGTTAACTGACCCAGTCATTCAGTTATTATTCCATGGCAGAGAGAGGACATCATGGATATCCACCGGACTTTAAAACCTGCGCTATCGTCCTGACCAGTGTGGCTCATTTGGTTGGGTGTTGTCCAGCAAAGCAACAGGTCACCGGTTGAATTCCCAGTCAGGGCAATGCCTGGATTGCAGGTTTGGTCTCTGGTTGGGGCCCATACTCAAGAGGCAATTGACTGATGTTTTTCAATTTCTCATAGATATTTCTCTTTCTCTCCTCCTTCCCTTCTCCTCTTTCTAAAAAAAATAATGCATAAAATCTTTTTAAAAACCTGTGCTATTGACCACTGTACAAACCCAGCTTTCTGCCCCAAAGCCCCTAAATAAAAGGAGAATCAGAGGTCCAAAGACATCGTTTGCCATTTAGTTCATTGTTTTCTAAGTATCTTCTAGTAATAAGTACTATGTTTTGGATTGGGGACGATAGATGTCAAGCAAGATACAGTCCTCAAGCCGTAATGGAAAGGCTTTGCCACATGGTGAACAGGCACAGTGTCGGGAAGGCTGTAGCCTGGTCCAAAGAAGGGAAAATCCCTTTTACCAAGGTCACTCTGACACCAGGGTGGGGCAGTGGGAACAAGGATCTGCCACGTGCCACAGAGAAGAGCCCCAAGAAAGCCCAGATAAACAGGGATCAGACTGGTAAAAAGCAGGAGTGGCGAACTTCCTTAGCGGTCCATCCTCACGGTCCGTGCACTGAGGGCAAGGCAAGGTGGAAGGGGCATCCTGGGAAATGTGCACCGAGGCTGAGGGAGGGAAGCAAAGCCTCAAGGGAACAGGACCATGCCAGACCCTCTGTGAGCAGCAGCAGGACATTTTTTCAGGGAGAAGGTGATGAATCACCTTTCCAGAGCCTGCCCAGTGCAAGTCCTCCAACGATGTTAAGTGAAGGGTCAAACGGGCAAAACAGAGCAGCTGCCTGGGTATGAACAATCAACCCCGGCATCTACTTTCCCTCTGATTCCTCAGGCCCTCCTCATCAGCCTGGATGTGTGTCATACCCTGTATTCACTGCTCTGGCCTCCCACACACCGCCCACCACACCTCGTAAGCCCCACCTCCAAGGATGAAGGGGAAACTCTGACGAGACTGTGCCCCAAGTTCATTCCCGTATCAGAGCTCACTGGACAAACCCTGTGGCCAACGGCAGAAAAACAGAGCAGAACACAAAAACCCTAGCTGGGACAGGCCCCAAGAGCACAGGGGGAAATCATGCCTTCCTCCCACACGCCATCACTCAAACCTGTCAGCTTCCAAAAACATTTAGCAAGTGCAGCAGCTAGGGGCATGCTTATCAGCCTGGCGTGGGAGCTTAATCTGCTTTGAGGGCCTTCTCCAGCCCAGAGCTCCAAAAGTCTGCTTACAATTAGCTTCCAGCTCCAGTTCCTACATCAGAAAGGCTAGGAATGTGTTGAGTTCTAGCCTCTGATCAGAGAAAGCTCCAGGAGAAGGTGGAGACAGTGTCAGTAGAGAAGTAAGTGCCAAAAAGGTCAGCTGGTCTGTTGCCACTTCCCTGACACCAGCCCCAAACTACCTCCCCCTCTGCCTTCCCTACCCTCATGTCTCCTGACCAGGACAGTCACATCCGTCAAGTCAGCCTGTCCCCAAAAGTCCCTGATGGCTGACTGCCAAGAAAATACGACGTGCCCCTGCTCCCTCCTACCACAAGAGGGAAGAAAAACAGCAGGGAGGGCAGGAGGCCAAGAGAACCTGATTGGCCCTTGCTGATTTCCTTAAAAGAAATTGAATGGCCAGAGCCTGCCACCCAGCCGAATTGGGTGATGTGAGCTCTGTCTGGAAAGGTAGAAGTCACCACTTCTCGTCAAGCCACCCCTCACCTCCACACCCAGTCACCCGGGCCACAGAGCTACCCGCTACCCGCAGCAGGATCTACTACCCAGGAAGGAGGGGCTTAGCTTCAGGCCGCCATTCTGAGCAGCCACCCCCACCCCCACCGCAACAGCCAGCCAAGACGCTAGGAGTCTCCAGCTGGCTGCTTCAGCTGGTGCACCGGGCACTCCTACTGCAGTCCCAGCACCGTGCCCGAAATCCTGTTAGTCCAAGGGATGGAGCAAGGGCAGGTCATCTTCAAGACGAGGGAGCAGGTTCGCTGCCACCCCAGACTCTTTTTACTGGATATTGCAGCCACAGGGGCATCGAGCCCAACAAGGCCTCTGATCGTTCCTTGTCAGGGATAAAATCTCTGCAGAACCGACAGACAGACAGACAGACAGACAGACGATACAGCTTTTGGGGTGCCAAGCCCTCAACATGCAGGATTTGACATTTCCAGCGCTGACGCTTAAAAAATAAAACAAACTACCCAACCATGCCCCTCAAAAAGAAGCCTCGGGCTTGCCTGCACCCGGGTCTCATACCAATCCTTCAGGCAAACCTAGGCCACCCAGACCACACCCACCGGCCAGGCTACTCTCCTCGCGCGTCCCGCAATCTGCCGGCCTAAGTGGATCGGTTCCCTTCTCTGTCCGCAGGGTAGCCCTTTCTCCCCATCCTGCCATGCCGCCCCCTAAAAAAAGTATTCACCAAACCCCCCTAGAATATTGTCCCGGCACACAGCCCTTCTCACCTGGGTATCGAACCCGTTTTCCAGCGAGCCGCTCTTCCGCAGCGGGAGCCCCTCCCCCGCCGGCTCCTGCAGCCCCTGCGATTTCAGTGGGATCTGGCTAGGGAAGGTGGTCTTGCTCACCTCCACCTTGCTTCCCAACTTGAGGTAGCAGGGCTGGGGGCCGGCCCGGGCCGGGGGCACATGCAGGATGGGCGCGGCGCTATGCACGGGTTTGGGCAGTCCCGACTTCATTTTGGAGGCGACCAGGATGGCCGGCATCTTTTCGCGGGGCTTCGGCTTTCCCAGCACGTCCCTGGCAGCGGCGGCGGAGGCGACCGCTAAAGGCAGCGCGGGCAGCAGAGTAGGCGCCGGGCCTCGGCCCTCGAGGCGCCCACCACCAGTGGAGGAGGGAAAAAATCCCCGAGTCGGGGAGCTTGGAGCGAAACGATGAGCGCGCCTTCGAGATGCTGGAATGCTGCGGAGGACTAGTCGCGGCGCTCAACTGGTCCCACCTGGATGGATGCTGCAGCCGGGTCTCACGCCCCTTCTGGGCGGCCAATTCAAGGGCTCTGGGAGCTCAGTGGCTGTTGCCTCTTGCGATTCTCCTCCTGGGAACCCGAGATTTGCAAGCCCATATTAACTTGTCACTGCATCTCCGAAGCGAGGAGGCCCCTTTGGAAAAAAGGTGGCGGGGACCCAAGCCTCCTGCTCCTGGAGCCTGCGGGTGTGAGCGGGCGAGGGAAGGAGCGAGCTGCGGCGGAAGGGAAGGAGAGAACAGCGAAGGAAGAAGAAGAGCGCACGGAGCACCAGACGTCTCGAGACCACAGAGAGGCAGCTGCTGCCCTGAGCGTGAGCACCGCGGTGTCACCCACGACGCAGAGGCGCAGCGAGAGCCCCCGAAAGGTCTCTCTAGGCGTGACAGTCACCACTGCCCAGAAGCCCCCCGGACAGATAGCACCTTAACGCCTGCGGGTCTGCACATGCTCTGTGCGCTATAGCGCAGCAAGGCTGTGGCCGTGGGGCGCGGGCACTGGGACGCGCGGCTGGGCAGGGCTGCGCTCGCGAGCGGTAGCCGCACTCCCCGGGAAGGCTGCGCTGGCTGCGGGGCTCAGTGCAGGGGAAGACAAGCTGCCGCCCGCGAGGCTGCGGCGCGCGCTGACAGCCGGGACCGCCCCAGCGCGCCCATTGGTCCGTAGCGCGCCTATCAGCAGCCCGGATCACACAGCGAAGGGGCGTGGCATCAACTCCCAAGCTGTGGCCGAAACTCTGGGGCCGCGCTTGGCAGCAAGTACAAAGCAGGCTGGTGGCCTCTCTGCGGCACTGTTCCCGCGGCGCGCTTCACCGCGGGCTGACACCCCCGTTCCCTGAAAACTTCTTTTGAAAAATGCCCTTTCGAACGCAAACGCCCGCCTCCACACCCCGCAGGCACGGCTCGGGGGAAGTTTTGTTTCCTTTTTGAAATTATTCTGGTCACCTTAACGGTTTAAGTCTTCCGGAGTCGCGCCCGAGGCCCCGCGGCCCCCCATCTGGCCTGGGCAGGGCTGTTCCTCGTCTCCCGCGTAAATGACAAGCCAGCCATTTCTCTTCTTTTCTGCCTGCTCTGCCAGGCGGCCCGGGAGGGGGGGGGGGGCTCCCAACAGCTTCCTCTTCGGTTTTCAAAAGGTGCACATTTCACTTAACTATTTGAAGTATTTATGGGCAAATACAATACCCAAGGAAGCTTGCCGCCCTGAAACAGCTCCTCCTTGCAATCTACCACAAACTCTGTAATTAGAGTGCCCCGAGGAAGCCAAGAGAGGCTCTATGACCCTGGCTGGCTCAGGCTAAACCTTGCTGCATTTCACGTAGGAGCCCCTCCCTGGCAGTGCCTTGGACACACTGGCCCCACAGGTTCCTCGACTTGAATTCCCCTGGGGATTTCATCCCTCCTCTTAGTTGCAGTTTGAGTTCCTTGCTGACTCAAAGGATATGAGAATTGAAAGGGATAATCTAGGCAGGCCAGAACCCTCTCGGTCCACAGATGAGGAGCCCCCCACCTTATAAAACTGCCTGGATTTAAATTGGGCAAGTTCTTTAATATTACATGCATCCATAGAAAGCTTTGGTTTTCCCTTGCAGGAAGGAAATTTGACTACATTTCTACAATGTGCTGTTGTTTGCATTAAATGAGATAGCGCATCGCAGTCATTTGGCACAAGTATCTGGCCATGTAAGGGGCCAATAGGAGCTCAGTATTGCTATCCTTATTAATTACTGCTACTCCCTCCCCCCAGTCATCTCTGACTAAACGTCTTCTCTTGTCTCTGAGATACAGGTTTTCTCCATATACCCACCCTATAGACTGATTCACAACACTGATAGCATTGATTTTTCATTATGCAGACCAGAGGAAACTTCAGTTTTAAAACAACCTCTTAAAACAGCACTAAGAAATAAGAAGATGCTTTCTTACCCTGGTCTGTTCCCTCTCCCATCTTATTCCCCTCCCCTTTCTATGTTCTGTATAGCAACTTTCTACTCTAGCAGGGCTAAAATGCACATTCTTGTATAGAATATCCAGTATCCTACCTTCCTCTGAAATTAAATCACATGTGGTCTGTGCCACTTAGCACTCTTCCCTTTGCCATCCAATGCCACCTAGTTATTGATGGTTTCATGTGTTTATTTTCTTCTGAGAAAGACTCTGTAACCACACTCAAACATTTATTAGAGTCTCTCAGTGTCAAGTATAACACTGTGGACAGAAGGGCTGCCCAAATTTTCAAATGAATGAGTGAACGATGCCAGCAGCAATCCTCCAGGAGAAGAAACATTTAGAGTCAGGTACATAAAGTCATGACAAATATTATGCTGCATTAAACCTTAGAACTCTCCTACCCAGAATTCTGGTTTTGACAGATGCACGAAGAGTTCTGGAATAGACTGCAGTTTTTGTCTCTAAAGATCATGGAGATATTCTGAAGGATTTCCACGGCCCTCATGCAGTGGTTCTAAAAGTATGGTCCTGGGACCAGCTGCAGCACCTGGAAACTTGTTTGAAAAACCTCTCCCACTATGCTTACATCTGAAGCTAATACATAATTATATTGAATATCAACTGTACTGGAAAAAATAAAAATAATGCCTAAAAAAAAGAAAAAACACCCCAGACCTACTGAACCAGAAAGCTCTGTGAGGTGGGTCCCAGCAATCTAGGTTTAACCAGTTTTAACCCAGTGGTTCTGATGCATTCTAATGTTCAAGAGCTTCGTCCAGCCCAATGAAAATAGCATGCAGTCGGGCTCTTCTAGGGCTTCTTAAACCTGAATATACATAAGAATTACTGGAAGTCTTGCTAAAATGCACATTCTCATTCAGTAGGTCTGGAACTCGGGGGCGGGGGGCGGGGGCAAGGGGGCATGAGACTCGGAGACTCTGCTCTCTGAATGAGCTCCACACTGGTGTTCTGGAGCTTTTGAGTAGTAAGGCTAAACCATAGATAGGTAGCAAGGGGTTTCATCGCCAGAGTCATCTAGAGTTAAGTGACTTTGTGTCACACCATGCTGTAAATAATTCTGAGGGTACATCTGTGTAGTTGAGTTGTAAACAGCAGTGTGATTAATTAATAATGTCAGTCATGGGTATAGAAATAGAAATAATGGCATACATGCTATGTGTTTACCATCTTTGATCTGTTGAAATCGTATTTGCTGCCAAGGTCATTTTTGAATGTGTACCCTCAAATGTGGACTAATATGAAAAACAGAGCATTCTTTTTCTTTCTTTTTTATTTCGATTAGTACTTTTTGGTATTAAAAGTACCTATTACTAATATGCTAGAATGTGGTCAATGTATGAGCCTTCACCTTAGTGCTGTGGGATTCATATAACTCAAGTCCGATCATTTCTAATCTTTCTCCACAGAGAACAAATGAATCTTTTAAAGTGTATTTTCAAATTTCTTTTCCAGCCTTCTCATCTTTAAATAATCTTATTTGTTCTTTCCTGGGACATTTTTCTTTTCCATTTGTGTCTTTCCTATAAATCTTGATTTCTTTATTTAAAGCAAAATAATTTAACATAATAACCAGAAAAGCAGGAAAAGAGCTGTTTTTCCCCCTGCAGCAAAAGCGATAACTGCAAATTTCCTCCTTAAATAAGATCATCTCAAATTATAAAAATATCCTATAAAGTCAGTTCTTCCACATGGGTGTCATGTTAAGATGAAAAGTCATTTTAAATCAATATGTTTGGTAAGGATTGTTAGCTAAAGAAATTGTTGCTTCAGAGAATGGCAAACTACTTTGAAAAGAACACACAATCCAGGGTTTTTTTTAAATGTTATTTTTTAAATTATGTGCACTATGGGCAGCCCATCTTAAATCTCAACCTTGACAATCTTTTTCTCTCTTTGTTCTGTCTGACTCTAAACTTTCAAAGTTGGCCAGAAATAGTGATGGGGAATTTGAAATTTACTTCCAAAGCTCTCAGGACCATTCAATCACCCTAAGAGTTCGGATGGTTCCCTGGATGCAGGAAGAGCCAAGCTCAGCTTAGGGTGGGCCAGCAGCCTCCTGTTCCAATCCTGACATCCTCCAGTGGTGGTGTGTTGAGTGGGACCTGGGCTTCAGAGCTCACATCCACCCACCCTCCGTTGGCGTTAAAGACCCCTGGCTGCACCTGACCTACAAGAAGGCAGTCCTGTGAAGATCCTGAAACATCTAAATGCCAACCTGTCATTAAAAAATGCAGGGATCTGGGGGAAAAATCAACTGCCTCTTGGAGACCCCTCACTGTGACAGATGAAGAGATGTGTTACAAGTCTCTGAAATAATAGAAAAAATGAAACATTCATGAGTTTATTTGGGAGTAAAAAAAAATCACTGTAGCTTATTTTTAAAAACTCACTGTTCCTTAATTTTCTATGACATGGTTGACAACTATGATACATAGCTCAGAGGTGGCACAAATGTCCACCTGTTGGCCATGGCTAAGGTGAGAGCCCACTCATTCCAGACTGCAGAGAAGTGGAGGTGAGAACTTTAGGATAGCTCTTAGAATGTCTGTTCGCCCTGCCCCCACCCCCACTACTTCCAATCTACCTTCTTCCGGGTGGGTCTGTGAGCAGATCAATATGCACAATGGTGATCTCTGGAAGACTGGGTTCTCCCTCCTGCAGATTCTGGAGTGTGAGGAGTCCGTGTGAAGGGTGTGTGTGTGTGTGTGTGTGTGTGTGTGTGTGTGTGTGTGTTTATAGGCACTGAGGCAATGATCTTGATTAAATGTCATATAGCAAACTATTGATTAATGAGATATGGAGTAGCTCAATCATTATTCAATGAATAAATTGTTGAGGGTCATATATGTGTCAGGCAGTAGACATTATGATAGGGAGCAAATAATAAGTTCTTGTGAGGACTGCCCTTTTTCACAACTGAGAAATAAGGAACTCACAATCTAGTCAGGGGAGCAAGCATAGAAATGAATGACAAATGGTATTACTAATACTTTAACAGAAGCAGTGCAAAATATACAGTGATAAACAAGGCACAAAGGAGCATCAGCCTAGCAGCTAAGCGATTAATTTAACTTTCTGCCCCCAAAAATAATCCTGAAAAGTAACAGAGAGAATCTTTCCTTTCCACCCTTAGTGTTGAAACTCTAAGAGATATGGTTCCACTCTCCTACCTTTATAAGTTTATAACTTGCCTCATTCTACAAAGAATTTGAGGATAACCTATCTTCTATAAGCTAATGGCTAAATATTAATAACAAGTGTAATAGAAAAACATTTAAAACTTAGACTGTGACTACTTCTGCCTTCTGTAGGTGGGGGAAGGAAGTATAAATAAACCACATCAGTGGGAATCAAAATCACATATCACTTCCTCCCATATTCGGGCACTAGGTAAAGAGGCCAGTCTGAAGTTTCCAAGAAAGCCAGTTCTGGGCTACTTGAGAGAGG